GTGAAACGTGTGTGATTTCACGAACCAAAAAAATTGGCTGTGATTTCACGCACGTTTGGGACACAGGACCCCAACAACAAAAACGAAAGGAAAACCTACCAATGGGAGAGCAAAAGAAAACATCCTTTTCCCAGGCTTAATTCGCAAAAACAGGCTACCGCTGATTTCCTGCCAAATCCACGATGCCTGACAGTCACACACCTTAAACACTAATCCACATACATCGGTAGTTGGATCTCCTTCCAGGCCAGTTTAAAACAATTCAAAACCAATTCAAAACCAATTCAAAACCAATTCAAAAAGCGTGAATCTGCATTACACCACAAGGGGTTAATAACAGGGGACCCCACTTGTCAGCCCCAGCCTGAGTTTTTTTTTTTTTTTTTTAAAGAAAATTCTCTTCCTGTGCTAGTGCTGCTGATAAGAGCAGACAGCACTAGCACCGGGGGGGGAGGCTCCGTCTATTGGTGGGAATCCGCCCAACACTGAAAACTGTGGCTGCATTACACAGGTTCTGCAGCCACACTCCTGGCATATGTAAGTCTCCATTCTTATACAGGCAAAAGCCGCAATCCAATATGCCCACCAATCCAAGTGCAGAACGACTGCAAACGGACATGTTCTCACCGAAGCCCTAGGTCATACATTGGACTAAGACGACCAGGGGAAGCAATAAAACGGCGAACAAGGTCTTTCTCCGAAGGCAAGCATACCCTCCCCACCAGCAGTATACTTCACCCAAGAACCGCCAAGGCCAAGAACCTGACACTGCCATTGATGACTGCCCCATCCTAACTTCGACACCCAATAGTCTCGATCGGCAGTGATTAACTTTCCAGAACGATAATCTCTAGAAGGATCAACAGGGTTTTTCTGCAAAGTTGTATTAATGCTGTATAAAAAATAAAAAATAAAAAATAAAAAAAATAAAAAATAAAAGGATCAACAGGGCTCCCCCCTCTCTCTCCTCTCTCTCCTCTCTCTCCTCTCTCTCCTCTCTCCCTCTCCCTCCCACTCCCTTCCACACTCTCTGAAGCAAGTGTCACGTACATCCATCTTACCAGTCCGCAGGGGAAGGCCAGGAATCCTGTCAAACCAGAAGAAAGATCAGTGCATTCGAGCTATACGTAATTATGGTTCAAACCGCCTGGCACCATGCAGTGAAGGTCTATGCGCTGGTCCTCCACACGCCCGGGAAGTTAAGCGGAGGAGGGGCCGACCAGACGGCCAGGCATGAGGAAATGTAGGGTTCGGTGGATCAAGCATGGGCAATGTAGGCGAGAAGGAGTGGGGTAGAGGTGAGGACTAACGGAGACTGGATCGACCCCCTCCATCTGACCACCTTGTTTGTATAGCTATCATTGTGGAGGTCCACCTGATTGTAGGACAGAAGGTTAACCGACCCCCCATTTTTCACCTCCATTTATTAAAAAAAACAAAGGGTCATTTTAACCATACTTCACAGCAATGAAGTGGGGGTACCTGTTAACCATTTGTGGATTGTAGAGGCTGTTGACCCTGATGTTTGGGGTAGAGGTGAGGACTAACGTAGACCGGATCGACCCCCTCCATCTGACCACGGTGACCTTGTTTGTACTGCTATCATTGTGGAGGTCGACCTGATTGTAGAGGCTGTTGACCCTCAGGCTGATCTTTCGCAATGAGTTCTCATCTACCATGCATTGATTCAATATAGTAAGAAAAGAGGGTTTCCCCTTCTTCATCGCTGTTGTGTTAATTTGCGCCGTGGTAGGGGAACACGTTTTCTGCGATTGTTGATCATAATCACATAGTAGGGCTCGATTGGGACTAGGATCGTGTTTGAGTTTCTTAGCCCTATCATGACATGTGAATTCCCGTGCTATAACTCCCCCCCATTGTTTGAGTTTCTTAGCCCTATCATGACATGTGAATTCCTGTGCTATAACTCCCCCCCATGCTATAACTCCACGGTGACCCTTCGGTTTTGAATGCTCCAACTTCTGTAGGTGTTCCATAGTAAGGCAGGGCTCGATTATTACGTGGCGCGGGGTTAATCCTTCCCATCGGGGGAAGCAATCAATGCCACTTGCGCATTCTGCACTCTTGATGTTTAGGGAAGCTGACCGTGGGAGCAGTGGCCAAGGCTCTTACAGCCCTAACGGGAAGAGGCGCGAGTTTGTGTTGTGTTTCAATATTGTCACCTGAGCCTTGGGCACTGGGCACTTTTTATTTAAAAATAAATAAATAAATAAAAAGCAGAACATGCGTCAGCTATCAAGCACGCGCCCTCGAACAGGAAGCTACCCCATTGATGCAACGGGCGAACTTAATTCGCCAATTCAAAGGCTCGCGTTTAGCAGAATTGCCATCACTCATCGATAACATTCGTAACCAACTTGTAACAGCAATTTCGTCAAAACAGACATATTTTATTTTTGGGCAAATTGCATCTGTACCCCACTTAAAGATGGGAATACCCGCTATACCCAGTCCCAGCCCGAACTTGCATCTGTACCCCACTTAAAGGGCGTTCAACTTTGCATAGTACCCAGAGAGACTCCAGTCGGGACGTAATTGTCACACTTCTTTTGTCACACTTCTTCTGTTGGCTTTACTCTCGACAATTCGAGAGTCCGGCTTTGCAGAGTAGGCCGAGAGATGACACATTTTCTGCCATTTTCGAGAGTCTGACTGCTCTTCAAGGATTTTCGAGAGTAGAGAGTAGTGAAGGGAGGCCCATTTTGTCCGACGTGGCAGTTAATCTTCCCGCCTACTAGACGGAAAAGGCTGGCAGCATAAGGCAAAAAAAGACGCAATCTTCAAGTTGTGCCCCCACTGTTCTTCAATTTGCACACGACAGAAATCCAGATCGGAAAGAAGAGGCTCAGGGCCTCGTTCCACTACTCGCCATCCGCCAAAACAGTGGTGAGACTTGGCGAGGCCGAAAGTGCATTTTTCTGGTGGAAAACGGCTCTTGGTTCCATTACATCGCCGCCGCCACGTGCGCTGTGGTTGCTGTCCCGGCCTGCTCCCCGGACTGTGGCAGATGGCGAGCTAATGGAACCGTGGCGGCCTTCTCTTCACCATGTACTCAGACTGGAAATCAATCCAGGTGCAGCGACAACTCGCCAACACTAGGGGACAACGCAGGTCGACTGTCAGGACCGCTGTGTCAGGGGCAATATGGCCACACGAAGCATTTCGCGGAGGGCTGAGGAGTAGTGCCTCCACGAAGGGCTGTTGCAGGCAGGGGAAATGGGAAGCCTGGGCGACACATCGCCAAGTGATTTCAGACCCAAATTCTGCCAGCGTCCATTTTCGTGGCTATTGGCGATGCAGTGGAACGAAGTCGCATCCGCCATGCGTGGCGGATGGCGAGTAGTGGAACGAAGTCGCATCCGCCATGCGTGGCGGATGGCGAGTAGTGGAACAAGGCCCTCAGACAGACTGGTGTTGTTACATAGGGCAGTACTTCAAAACTTATGTCGGCCGGTATAATTTATGTCAGGGGTAACTTCAGTAGAGTCACAAAAAGGAGTTGTAATTGCACTATGGGGCAAGATACAGTTTGCAATTGCACTTCAGGCACCCTACCTGGCCAGAAAGATGCGTTGTATACATTGCCCAAACTGCAATTTGAAACTGAACCTTGGCCCATCGTGCAATTATAACTCGTTTTTGTGACTCTCGCGTAGTCTCCCCTTTCTGTTATTATTACTTGGCACGCTAGACAGCCTCTACAACAACCTGGCCTTGAAAAAAAAAAAAAAAAAAAAAAAGAGTTTGCCTAACGGCTTTGAAATTCCTAGCTGCCCAAAAGTTAGGCTGGTCACGCTGTGAACTGACACCCATTCAGACCATTTTACAAATTTTCCACATAAGGACATATAAACACAACTGTGAGCCTCATGAATTGGGACCTATCTATCCATTCTCTCTAAGCCATCATGATATTTCTTGCCCACATTATGGTTGTCTTGCCTGGCCCCCAGAAGCATATGCCATCATGATACATTAAATTAAATGAGAAAAAAAAATAAGGAAGGTCCCTCACAGGTAGGTTCTAGAAAGGCCATAGCAGTGTTGATTCCTCAGGCCTCAGGTTGTTTCAGGTTGTTTTCCTTTCAGCCACTTGGGATTCCCTCTTCTGTCTGTGGTCACCATCATGAGTTCAGCCTGCTGGACCTGCACTATTTTTCCAAGTGACAACTTGAATGATTGTTGTTGAGCAAGTAACATAGCTCATTACTAGAACTTGGCCCAAAAAAAAAAAAAAAAGGGCAAATTGAATCCCTATCAAGACCCGACTAACGAGTCTCGTAGCCTTTTGTCACTCACTCATTCGTTCGGTCATTCGTTAGTCACAAAAATGAGTTATAAGTGCACTATGGGCCAAGATACAGTGTCCAAGTGCATCTGGGGCAATGTATACAACCCAGCTTTCTGGCCAGGTGTAGGGTGCCTGAAGTGCGATTGCAAACAGTATTTTGGCCCATGGTGCAATTATAACTCCTTTTTGTGACTCTACTGAAGTTACCCCTTCATTCATTCATTCGCTTACGCTTACTCGTTCACTCACTCGTTCCTATTACGGGATAAAATGCTTCAGTCACACAACAGCCTCAGGCTGACAGATTGTGGCAGTACTATGCAGTTAATATGTTTATATGTCTTGCCACTTAATGAATTGTGTACTAAAGTTTGTAAACTCTACCAAGGGGCCTACCTCAGTTGGTTACACCCACCATCTGTTGAAATACAAAACGGAAGTTTGAATCCAGACAACAAACCACATGAAAAAACAAAATAAATAAGTGCAAAAAAAAAAAGGCGCAAACTCTTGTCTGTCTGTCTGACTGTCTTTCTGTGCTCCTGTCTCTGTCTGCCTGCCTGTCTGACTCCCTGCCCGTCTGTCTGTCTGCGCGCGTGTGTGTATGTGTGTGTGTGTGTGTGTGTGCCTGTGTTCCTATATGTGTCTGTGTGGGCTTGGTGGATATGACTTGGGCATACACCAACAGGGCGCAGGATTATGCGAGTATGCAGGCTTGAAGGCATCCACTGCTCATCTGTTCGGGGGTGTCACAGGCAGAGATGTGGCAGATGCCTCTGACTTGTTCCATGATTCCGTCACTCGCCATGTCTCATCCAAGGTAAGCCCTTCTGAAACACACCCCTCTCTCTCTCTCTCTCTCTCTCTCTCTCTCTCTCTCTCTCTCTCTCTCTCTCTCTCTCTCTCTCTCTCTCTCTCTCTCTCTCTCTCNTCTCTCTCTCTCTCTCTCTCTCTCTCTCTCTCTCTCTCTCTCTCTCTCTCTCTCTCTCTCTCTCTCTCTCTCTCTCTCTCTCTCTCTGGCTATCTATCTATCTATCTATCTATAGTTGTTTAGTTGCCTGTATGTAATATATAATAGTCATATCTTGCAAGGAAGCCAAAGCATTCTCCTGCTTTTCTTTTCATCCTACATCGTATGTCAGGTCCATCAAATCCGAGCAGACTACTAGTGGAAAAAAAAAGAAAAAAGAAAAAAAAATTCCTTTTTCAGTAATATACAAAAGTTTAGGTTGTGGATTTTGGAAGCGACAAGGAATGAGGTGGGGATTGCGAGTTACGATCTGAGCAGATTGAGTGAGGTGTAAAATGGCCTCTCTTGAGCAGATGAAGTGGGGGGTGAAATGGCCTCGCGTATGATGTAAGATACGCCTGTGAAAATACAGCTCCTAGCCTTGCTGGATACCAGTTATTGGCCAACTTTCAAGTCTCACTCCTGCTCCTCTGTCCGTACCATCTTCACCCGAAGAGGACCCCTGTCATTATTGTTATATCTATACTTGAAGTTGCCCCCAATACAGCCATAATGACTGGCCATTCTATTGGAGGGGGGTAAAGAGGGTAGGATCCAGTGGCAGCCAGCTGAGGAGAGTGGAGTTGCCGTATGAAATAGGAGGGGGAGGGGGGGGGGGGGRGGACTGGGGGGGGGAGGACTTAGGGTAGCTGCTCGAACACTGAGGGCATGCTCACACTAGGACTTTTTGGACCCCTGTGTGGACTTAACAGCAGTCAGACATGTCGTGGATGGCCGGAATTGCAGTCTTATACAGCCAGGAAAGGAGTCCTGCTTTCTTCGCCTGAATACTAGGTACGGTCATTATAGGTGTAGTTTGGGGTATCTTTCAATCTAAAAACAGCAATAATGACCATACGTTGTATTAGGGTGAAGAAGGGAGGTGTGATTATGTCCCGAGTTAATTCATGTGTGATTTTTTGTGAGATATTTTGAGACTCAAGCACGATCATGAAACTGCACCACATCAAAGAAAGAAAAAAAAGAAGAAAAAAAAAGAGCTTGTCACAGGATCTAGGTGCTCGGTCTTTTTTTTCTACTAATGTGCATAAAGTTGTGCCACCTCTGAGTCTATCCTTTTTTTTCCTTTTTCTTCTTTCTTTTTTTCAAAACATCACCCTGAGTGCCCCTACTGCAGGCGGGGATGAAGGCCCACGCCTGTTGTAGGGGCAGCGGTGTGCAATGGCATGGCTCCGATCTTATTCATGTGGAGCAGCACGTGATGAGTACCGGGCCCAGCGTCCCATCTTGAGAACACTGATTGATTGGTTGACACTGTTTGCCCACCAGATGTCACACCATGGACTTATCGCCTCTTGCCTTTCCGGTGATAGGGGCCCCATCCCTTTGCACACACGCCAAAAAAAAAATGGAAACGAAAGGAAAAAGGTGAGGGAAAAACATCCCATCATCAGCAGGGCCCTGATGGTAAATCAGGAGAGGCACATTTACGTTTACAGCTGGAAAGACGATCTCAATGTTTTTTTGTCCGTTTGTACTTTTTTCCTGTCCTACCAGCTCGGACATCCGGGCCGTTGTTTTGTTCGTACAGACGACACTGAAGAGCATCCGGTCAGATCGAGTATACTTCCGTACGTGTATTATTTGTTTATTTATTTTATCTATCTATTTTTAATATTATATTTGTTTTATTTATTATTGGGAGTGTCCGATGGATTAGTGCGGAGCAGCACATGCTGGGAAACGAGCACAATGTCCCTTATTCCAAATTGAGATCATCATTACAAGATAATATGACCTTTGTTGATTTTCTCTTCCTGTGGACTCATTTTCAACATACTCCGTGACTTTTTTTTTATGTTCTCTTCCTTTGGACTTGTTTTCGAAGCAAGACCATTGTCGTACGGTTGATATATGATGAGAGTCATTGTGCATGGTGTGCAGTCATGGTGTACAGTCCTCGTTAGTTTTTTTTCAAAAAAAAAGAATACATCCTCAGACTTATAGGGTGATGTAGGCAAAGCAGTCCTGGTGTTGTCTATGCATGCATAGATTGTGCTACGCCCTCAGTTGCTGGTGATAGGTCTGATTTTCCAATGTGCAGCTGGTTCATATGCTAGCGAGAAGTTTCATTTTTTATAGTATACAGCTAGTGTGGCACCCCATCAACAAGTTGGGGCACTTTTTTGTTCTTTTTTTTTTTGTTAACTGGGCCTTTGTGTGTGTAAGAGAGAGAGAGGGGGGGGGAGAGAAGGAGAGAAATTGAGCCTACCTTTTTTACTTACACATTTCCTCCTCCATTTTTTTTTGTTTGCCTGTTCTTTACTTATTTTTTCATTTCTTTTACTACTCTTCATATTTTGTTTGCTAGGTCCTTGGATCTGGTCACCGTGGAGAAACTGAGGCTAAGCTAAAGGTGGCCATCAATGGTTTCGGACGTATTGGCCGAAATTTCCTGAGGTGTTGGCATGGGCGACCAAACTCGCCCCTTGAAGTTATTGCCATAAACGACAGCGGAGGTGTTAAGCAGGTGAGGTTTTAATTTCCAAGTAAAGTGTTTATTTCAAATGAAATGTGAAAAAATATGTATTACAAATCTTGTTGCAAAATTAAGCCTTTTCTTTTGCGTATCAGATTGCATTTAGTCCCTAAGGTTTGGGGGGCTTTACACACACAATCATTTTGAGGGAGTCTTTACTATTACTATTTTTCCATATCATTATTGACTATGGAATAAAATTTAAGCTCGTCAAAAATAAAACTTTGTGAGAAATTTATTCAAAGTGGAATTAAAAAAACATTCAAAATCTTTTTTTTTATGCTTATTAACCTTTGGAAAATTTTACAATATGTCTTATGAAATTTAGTATATCATAGTTTTATGTGAATAAATTAAACATGTCTTATAAATTTCATATCGCTTTATGATGAGCAAATATGATGATGTATATGTATTATATGGTCAAACACTGTCATGAATAACAAATTTTGATTGGATGCAATTTACATGTCCCCACCTAATGATTGCTTAGGCTTAGATGCTTAGGTCTTGTTCAAGTGCACCAATAATTTCAATAGCAATTCAAATAAAATTAGTATCATAATTACATCATGAATTTATAATTTTGGATTTAATCATCTAACATCGTTTTCTTAATTTCATACCTAAGTTGAAATTCAAATAACTTGATTTTGCATCAACAACAAACAAATGTTAATGTCGTTAATACTCGAAGTGGTTTATGATTTGACTCAAATATTTATAAGTTAAGTAAATGGATGGTGAATGCACTAATCGATTGATTGAGTGGTTGGCTGGTTGGCTTGTTGGTTGTTTGGTGAATTTTAAATTACTAATGAAATTTTTATTATTTACTTTATAAATTAACTTTATGATTTGTCGTTTGTCTTGACATGCTCATGTTCTTATGGACGATGGTAACGACGAAACATAATGTCATGCATATGATACAACTATATTACAGGCAACTCATCTTTTGAAGTACGATTCCATGTTGGGTACATTCAATGCGGATGTGAAAATTGTTGACGAAACACATATTAGCGTGGACGGGAAGGTGATCCAAATTGTATCGAACCGTGATCCACTTCAACTCCCCTGGGGTGAACTTGGCATCGATATTGTCATCGAGGTATGAATTTTGCTTCTTACCCTTACTTAAACCCTTACCAACATTTTTTTACTTCGAAAAAAAAAAAAAAATGAAGGTATAAAGCTTTGTTTTATGTTAGATGTCTACCATCGTACAACTCTATAATCACGAATGACTATAATTTTTTCCCAACCATAATCGTTGTTTTAAATAGATTTTGCTTTAAAGGTTTTATTCTTAAATAGATAGCGTCGATATATCCAAATAAATAATATGAATGTTCTAGTCAAATTTCATTCTTTTTATTTATTGTTTTCTATGAAAATGGACACTTTATTATTAATGTGTCAGTATTTATTCAATAATTATGACCAATGTCCCTCATAAAAGTTGTCACAACACTAGGCTAAGCAATGCTCTCTGGCCAATCAAAGTGTAAGTCACTGTAGCGGACCCACCAGGTGTGGTGCTCCGCTAGTGACAGAGATGGAGATGGAGGAAGAAGGGGGAGCAAGATGGCACAACGCAGCTCCCCACGCAAGACTCCAACGCACGTACTCCAAAATGTGCAAGTGAGAAATGAGACTGAAAACAGACAATGGCTGGGGTATACCCCAGCGGACTGACGGGACTGGACTGGACTGGCTGGTACCGACAGAGGTACCGGCCTGGACTGGCCTACCCCGAATATAACACAGGCCTGTGAGAACAGGCCAAGGGGCTGGTCTCACAGGCTAACCCGAGGTCCGCTACAGTCACGACTATTCCAATAACTTATTCCTTCTTCTCACCTTCCAATCATATATTATGACCGTTCAGTCCTTACCACTAACGGACTTTTGTTTTTAATTTAGTACAACATAGGAAATTTGGGCCCTAAAGGACCTTTGTATTTGATTAGCCGCCGGCCCAAAAAGAGAAGGTAGTCATGTTTGACAATGATTTTTTAGCCATTTCTCCAAAAAAAAAAATTTATAAATGTCACTATCTTATTACTTATCTATGAAGTGATCTTTAACACTTTATGACATAATAAACCTATCATTCACAATAGCCAAAAGCTTCACTCTCAACTAGCATAAGGATAGTTGACCCTACAAATGTGATTACAACATACAAAAAAAAAAAAAAAAAAAAAAAAACAGAAGAGATTTTTAATAGTACAGTCTTTGTTTCTTTTTTTGTACAGATGCGCCCTCTTACACCCTTTGTCTTAAATTCACAAAACAAAAACTCGAAAAAAACAATCGAGGTCGTTGACACTGCATATAGTTTATATCTAATAGGCCCAATAAGGCATGTGAAGGAACAATGAAGTACTTTATAGTTTTGTGTGTGTAACCATTCCTTTGCATTCGACACTCTCAATCCGCCCAAGTCGCTTATTCGAATATAAAAAAAAATATCGAATCTATCGATACTCGAACAAAATCTCGACATAAATCACGAAGTGAAAACAACTAAGAGTCTTTGTTTCTTATTATTTTTTCATCATACTCCAAAGCGTTAACACCTTACCCGAATGTGTGTCTCTTTTTTTTTCCACAATTTATCATTTCGACATTCATTGCATTCGGGGTATTTTTCAGCGTGTCACCACGATAATTTATTTGAAAATACTTTTTTATTTCCTCTAACAGGAAATGAAGGTTAGCAAATCTGTGAATATGGTATTTATCCAATTAATGATCTGCATAAGGATTTTTCATCGAATTCAAATAACTGTAAATGGTGGTTACGTAGTAATTGCAACAATCGACATTGCAATTTCAATCATGTGTGAGCTTTAAGACATAGGTTAACCCCCAATGATTTATTTCTCAACAGTAGTAAGATTTGCCGAAGGGAAAATAATAATTGAAGGAGCACGGATAATGGTATTCGGTGATGTGGTAGTACATTAATTACAATGATCAAGTCAAAGAAATCTCTAGTGATTAAAATATACATATATACAGGGTCACCAGCCCGTACGTACGGAGGTCCCTAAGCAGACCTCCGTACATACGGGAGTTCGGGGTTCCGTACGAGGTCCGAACCCGGCGGTGTTCGGCCCCCGCCAAAAATTATTTCGGAGCCTAATTTTTTTTTTTTTTCGTTTTTTTTTTTTTTTAGTTCTCTATGACGTCAAGTACATGCCTATAAATTTTCAAGTCATTTAGCTCATCCAAATAAGAATGAAAAATCGCCAAAGATAGCAGTGTCAAAACGTGCTCGCCCACGTTGTGTTTCACTTTTTACTTTTTGTTTTCACTTTAGTTCGGGGTCTCAACAATTTTATTATTTTTTGAAACCTTTTTAGTCGGTTTTGCATTATGTAAAGTACACATTTTTACATTTTCAGGGCATTTAGCAATGCCAAAAAAAAAATGAAAAATCGCCAAAGATGGTGGTGTCGAAAACGTGCTCGTGCACTCACTTAATTTTATTCGCGCAGTCATGAAAATAGTTTGTAATTGCACTTCTGGCAATCCCGCGAATACAACACAACCCCACGCGACCCCACCAGACCCGAAACGTAGGTTATATACATTCAGCATTACGGGCCCTTTTGCCTTAAGTGCAATTACAACCTCAAAATCTGAGTGCACCGTAGTTTTCTTTTGTTATTTTTATTATTAGTATTTGTTCTTCGTATTTTATTTTTATTTTATATATATACATATAGGGTTGTCAGACCGAACATATAAAGGCCCCTAAGCCGATGCTCGAACATTTTGGCATTCGGGTTCCTGTACGGGGCCCAAACCTGAAGAGGTTCGAACCCCGCAAAAAAATATTTTGGCACCTAAATACTTGTTAAATATTATGGATGTTTCATCAGTACAATGTTTATCTTCTCTACTATTTTTTTCTTTTTTTGTTTAGCCAATATTAGTATTTTATGGATTTTTTTTTGTGTGAGCATTTTTTGATGTATGGTATCCCCCTCTTAATGTTGAAGTCATTCTGTTGAGGGAAAAAACAATGAAAAATCGGCAAAGATGGTGGTGTCAAAACTTGCTTTCCCACTCACTAATTTTTTTTTTCCCTAGGTTACCTAATCGAACGTCCGGGGTTGTCCAATCGGACAACTGGGCGGACATCCTCCCCGGGCAGTCTGTCCGAGCCCAAAAAAAAAAAAAAAAAAAAAAAAAAAAAAAAAAAAAAAAA